AGGCCATTATTCCTAAATAACCCCATGACCGTTATTTTGCGACAATACAATAAGTATTTAAAATAAGCCATTCAAGTTTATGAACCTTCACCGTTTAATTTAATTTAACATAACGCAGTGAGTGAGTACAAAGCCATTTATTAAAACTAAGTAATTAACAAGCTATTCAGTTTTTAAATATTTACTATTTAATTCGCATTAATTTAGTATGTGAGTATAAAGACATTTATTCCCCTAATAATCTATTCAAGTTCATGAATATTTTATTTTATATTAGGCTATGTATTTAAAATAAGGGTTTTATTATTTTTCGCTTATGCCACTCATAAGATCATGTGTATAACGTTGAATCAAACAACAATAATCATGCGTTAGTTTAAGGTTAGATTGGAGTTGGACTTTAATTGAGTGCTTCTACTCTAAAATTTTGGAAGGAATTGTTTTAATTAGACGTAAGAGGTGGTTTCATAGGCAAATTCTTGAGTTACAGACGATTTTTTTTAGAAAAGACCATGTTTTGCTTCAATTTGATCTTGCATTCTAATTAGTCGATTAGGCTGGCGATACATTTAACTATTTGATTTCATTTTAGTTCGCGAGTATAAAGGACATTTATGATGTTTAAGATCTACTTAATATAAATATTAAAAGTAAGCTATTTAAATTCGTGTTTATTTTTATGAAATTAAAAGTAAGCTATTTAAATTCGTGTTTATTTTTATGAATATTAAAAGTAAGCTATTTAAATTCGTGTTTATTTTCATGAATATTTACTAATCATATTCATTTTGTTAGCAGTGAGCATAAAATTATTTATATTCAAATTTAGGAGCCGCATAACTAAATAATATAACCATTGTAAATTTGTGAAATTGACAAAGATATTCTGATTATGGGAAAATTGAAAATTGTTCTAAATAGAATACGAGTGAAGCATGGTGTCAGACATGTGACCCTGACAAATCAATTCAAGACTGGACAAGTGGAAATAAAGATATCGATGATTGCGTGAAGGGGTTTCAACTTAGAACCGCTAAGTATGAGCAGAAGATAGAATAGATACCATTTAAACTAAGCAATATTGAAAAAATTGGCGAAGGGAATTTGGACTACTGATTGCTATGATTCTCAAAAACGACCTTTCACTTATGATATTTGGAGCAAGCTTAAAGAATGGTGTGAAAGTATGGAAAACTCAGATAATAAAAATGCTGATGAAACTAAAAAACAATTCTTAAATACTGACGAAATAGTAAAAAAAATCACCTATTACCTTAACAAAACATCCAGATTTTATGTATACTGGTGAAATTATTAATACGCAAAAAATATCAAATGCAATTAGAAGCATTTATTTAAATTTATACTATATAATTTTCTTTATTTACTTATTTAAAGTTAAATGTTATATTATTTAGACTCTATTATACATAAATTTGATATTGGAAATTTTTGTTATGTATATAATCCAAATAAATAAATTTGTTTATATAATTTGTAAATCAATTATTTATGTTTTATATTTTAATAGCAAAAAATAAAATTCAATAAAATTATTCAAACTAACATATATTTGACTTAAATATAATTATTCAAACTAACATATATTTGACTTAAATATAATTATACAGGCCATTTAGTAATATGTAGTAATTATTTTAACATTATTTATAAAAATTTATTTGGCTTCAAATTTCATAATTGATATGTATATTGGTCATAGTCTATATTATAGTATATTTGAGTTAAAGTCGATAGTTTAAAAACTTTTTAAAATAAAAAATATCAAGATTTTTATTTTTATTTTTTTGTTATGTGCTATTATTTCTATAATGCATATCAAATTTTATATTTATATACTGTATCTTGTTATGAATAGTGTTATTAATTAGCTAATATTCAACTTTATAGAGTATAAATTTTTTCTTATTTTTAATACTATCTATTTTGATAGTAGTAACTGACTTTATTTTATAAATATTTAATCATTTATCGTTATTCTACGTATTATGGAAATTAAAAGTGACTTAGTGGCTTAGGTGCATAAAATCAAATGCATCACGTAAATACTGAAAATTCGCATATACGTGATAACATAAAAACTGCGCCCTAGGACTTTTCGAAGTATACATTAGCTTTCACGAAGTCATTTGATTTCTGATGTAACCATTCTAATTCCGGTGTCTACATTCCTGAAATTAAAATGTATATTAGAGACTTGAATTCAATAAATGAAAGGGCAGTTTTCGCTCTCTTTCAATTACTAATAAATAATAAGTATCCACTTAACTGGATTTTCATTGAACCTTATCCTTCGACTTGTAACTTTGATAAACCTCTCAATACTTAATTCAGCGGATTGTATTGACTTGTACTTCGACTATACTTATTAAGACTCGAATGATATCATAGTATAAAATCAGGTAGTGCTATTAACGATCCGTTAGTGGAATCATTCTTGATCGTCGTTAGCTTTTAAAATCATTATCCTTATTGAGATATCACTCGATCATCAACGCTTATATATCTGATTAGAATTAGTAGTTCTTCTAAGAACCAATATTGTAACTTGAACTATTATTTCTAATAGAGCTGATTAGAGCTATTAACACTAGTAGCATTAGTAGCATCCTTGGCCTTTCAACAAAATGGTCTCGGCAGATCCTCGATTTTGATTGGCTAACGGCCGTGGCACTGCAAAATTGTGACCCGCATTACATAATTGTTTACTAATTTCTGGCCGGAATTAACTTTTTAATCTTTTCATTCCAAAGATAGTAATTTTCAAAGAAATAGGTCGCACAATGGTAAACTTAGCCCAGGAACAATTTTCACTTAATGGGCGGTTGTTATTTCATTAGTAAATTACGAGTAATTCCGGCCAAAATTTTTGAGAATCTACCTGTTGTGGCAACGGTAGCTATGGTTAATGGTCAATTGTATAATAACATACTGCGCCAAAATATAGTATCTTAAAACGCTAAAACTTTTTATAGCCAAATTTTTTTTGAAAAATCAACCAACAGCTTTTATACATGGGACTGAACTCACAAAGTTAACGATTCGTTTTTTTAAAAAAATCTTCTATCGAAATTTATAGCGATTCATCAAATTTCAAATTTGTATAACTCTATAGAAGCTTTTTTTTTAAAAAAAAAACACTGACCGTTAACTTTGTAGAGCCTAGCCCTGTGTATATAGTTATCAGTCTATTTTTTTTTTTAAAAAAAAAATTTGTCTGTAAAAAGTTTTAGCATTTTAAAAAATATTATATTTTGGCGCTGCCGTAACAAAAGTCATGGATTTTGATTGAGATCTATAAACTTTTGGCCCGCATTACATAATTATTTACATAATTTTTGACCTGAATTAATTTTTTAACATTGTCATTCCAAAAATAGAAATTTATAGAGAAATAGGCCCGCACGATAATAAAATTAGCCCAGGAACAATTTTCACTTAAGAGGCGGCTGTGATTTCATTAGTAAGACTTTGAGTAATCGAAATACGATCACAAGAAATTGAAGCATTCCCAGTATAAACTTCCGGGTATCACAAAGCGAAAACCTAGAATTCATGATGTTCGGAAATCTCACTTTCAGAAACAGTGATCATTATGATAAATTCTATTTAATGACTCATGTGGCGTTTCTGTAAAAATTGATTTCGGAAAGTTCACAATTTTAGACCTCAACAACTATCTGTTCAAATTCTATGATATTTTTTTTAAAATTTAATAATGTAGTTTATTTTAACCGTTACTAATTTCAGTTAAATCAAAAAAATTACAAAAAAAAACTTGTTTTATTTTTACGATAAAATTAATGAATTTTGATTGGCTGATTATCAATTAATCACGACCTGGACGAACCCCTATACGTACTTATATTGTTCGTAAATCAATTGAATATCATAGCTATATGGACAATTACTCCTGTACGCAGGTATATACGTGCTGTGTCTATATACGTATATATATATATAAGCTCTACAGTATTGACATATAAATATAACAAATTTAATACAAACAAACAACTAAAACTCTCCTAATAAAACCGTATAGAAAGTACAATTTAATTTAGGGATTTTCACCTACATGCGTAAAAGAGATTCTTTTACGCTACTATATTTAGGAAGTTATAACACACGGTTTGAAAGGAGGTTTCATAACAAACCAAATATATATATTTATAGGTTGTACAGTACTACATTATGAAAGAATTTTTTAGTTAATTTTTCCGATAGCGATAAATATTCGAGATCTACAATGTATATTGTCGATGTAGGCTGATGAATCTTTTAAAATATAATGTTTAAGAATCTTATAATTGTTATTTATCGAAATCTGAAATCGATCTATTTGTATTTATATTGATATACATGCTCATAAACCTGACACGTGGTAGCATTGTTACGAACACAAGTTTATTTTTACTATTTTTATTCATAATTTTTTCTCTTATATGAATTTTTTTTCCTTTTTTTTTGTTTAACTTTACATAAAAAAGATACGTAAATGAAACTGATCATCAAGAAAATACACGGTATACAAAATATCATCGAATTATTATTATTAAGTCAAAGGGATGTAGGAGAAGTTTAAAAGAAAAAACGAAGATTTTTTTATTTTAAGATAGAAAAAAGAAAAAAAATTAAGCCTAATTTTAATTTTAATTAAAAAGTATATAGAGAAAAATTATTAAATCTAACGAGTAAAGTGGTACATATAATTTTTTTTTTTTTTTAGTATGAATTTTTCTTACAAATTATTAAGTAAATAAAGTTGGGAATCGAATTATAAGATCACTTTTTTTTATACATATAAACATAGAGTTGTTTTTTTTCTTAAATATATTTATATACTGTACAGTGTATTGTGTATTTTAGTAAAATTTTAAAAGAGTTAAATTTTTTGTGCATAGAATCTATAAGATTAAAAATAGATTTAAGGTAAGAAACGTGGTCAACGGGAGAGAAAATGCAATGCTTAATAAACATACTTATACTTGCCTATGAGTCTTACAGCAAAGCTGACTTGAATCAACTTCCATGCGCACTGTTTGCAACATAGAATCAAATTCGTCATATGTGATATTCATAAATTGTGATAAAGCTGGTTTACATGCAGCAACACCTTCTAACAGATCAACACACATCTATGTATATAATAACGATAAAGTAGGTTAATATAAATGATATACTGCAAATGTTTTTTTTTTTTAAAAAAAAGATGATAAATCATGACAATCATGACAATTAGGATAAATAAGGATAAATAATGATAAATTACCATTTCACCAAGTCTTCCACCCCATTGACCAATTTGAGTTGAACGTTCTTCACATTGAATATCTGTGAGTTGTTGTGTACTTTCTAAATAACCTTCTAATTTGGAACTAATTAAGCCGTTAATGCCTCGATCGGCGAGAAAGTCCATAACTGTAAAAACAAAAAAATATATATATTTAATTGTTTATCCGATTATAGATTATCAATATGAAAAATCAGATCTAAAAGAGTGAATGCTTACGTGAACGATTGAATCGTTGATAAGTTGGAGCATTAGCGTCTTCGGTACAAACAACATCAAGTTCCCTGAATGATGAAAAATTTTAATTATAAAAAGATTAGAAAATTAAATTAAAAAGTTGAGAATTTTTTTTAAAGAGAGTATACATACATTAATTCGATCCAACCACCAGGTTTGACAACTCTAACAAGTTCTGCGATAACATCATCTCTCCACTGGGATTCTTCTAAAGCAGAAGCCATGAAACGTTGATAAACGAAATCAAAAGTTCCATCAGGAAAAGGTAAACCATCCAACAAATTTGCTTGAAGGAAAGTAGCGTTAGGAGGTTTTTTCTGTTCCGGAGGAAAGATCGGTGAAATATCAAGACCAACAAAAATAGCGGAAGGGAAATCACACGACATTTCCAAGATCCAAGAACCAGGACCACAACCAACGTCAAGAACACAGGCACCAGGTTGTTGCAATATTTGAGATACAGGTGCAGAAAAATTGCCTTGCCAAATATGACGATAAAGAAAATGTTGACCTTCTAAACGATCAACTTCACCATTATCATTTGGAAGAAAATATTTAGCATCTAAAACATTATGAAATCTTCTTCCACCTATGTAACGAAAAGTGTCAAGAATACATTCATCACTATTATTTTCTATAGAAATATTATTATTTTCTATAGAAATATTATTATTATCGAAATTAGCAAAGGTATCGTCTATAGATGTTTGATTCATAGTTGCTTTAGTATTTGTCATTTTGGAATATTTTAGAATAATTTTTAATATGTTTTAATATGTTTTAAATATATACGTATATATATATTGTTTTTTTTTTTATGGTTTTTGAAATAAGGAAGAAAAAATCTACACGGTTATTAGGAAGAGATATTCAATACTTTGAATTTTCGCAAGAGACTAAAGTTTTTCTAATAATTTACAAATCCTGATTAAAGATAGTATTTATAGGGAGAGATAATAATATGGGTTCGCTCTTAACCGAGAGATCAAAATATGTTTGTTCACACGTCTCGTATTTATACAAATCAGGACATATACTTTTTTTTTTTTCGTCTATATATAACTTTATTATTAATAGTATCAAGGTTTGCTATTTGAGTTTGCACCATTTAGGATTAACCGTTTAGGTTAATATGTCAACAAAGACTTCAAACAATTGTAAACCATGCAAGCTATCGCATTGGGACAATGGAGTACAAAAACTTTTTGGCGCATAAAAAAAAAAATATATATATGTATAAAATATATATATATATATTTATAATTATTACATAATAATTTATATAAGTATATATGAATGCTTGATTATATCATAAAGTTCGAGCCAATATCCGGATAGGCGATGCGTTAATGTGTAATAGAGCTCTAAGTGTTACCTTTAATTTTATTTTATTTGTTGCTAAATCAAAAGAACGAATCAAAAATCAAAAGGTACATTTAAAAGCAGGGTTATTTTGCATTGTTGTTTTGATGACATGTATCGTTTTGCAGAAAATTTTGGCGCAAACTAGTGACATTTTTTTTGAACTACCTTACAAATACATTATTATAACAATCGGTCATTAAGTATAAATTTGTAAATTTGTTTGTTATTTAAGATTTTTTAATTTCCCGCCTTTTTTCTATTGAAATTTCAACATCTTAACTGACAATATATATATATATATATTTGACATGTTAATAATGTTAATGTTATTAATGTTAATAATGGTTTAATATTATTAATTTTAATACATTATTAATTAATATTATTAATTTTTATTGATGTTAAGTTTAACATTAACATGAATGAATTCTACACGAATTCTAACATGACATGAAATAAAGCAAAATATCAAAATATTGTGGATAAAATGATCACATGATACCTATTGCAGACACGCAGGCTTCATTCTCGCGTTTTTCTTCTTATGTTTCGCATTGCTTCGATTACTTTTCCACCGATTCGCTCACGTCATTACCAACAAATTTGGTTAAAATAACATTCTGTAAATGGTTGGTGCAATCGATTTAATATTTGTTTTTTTCTTTTTAGGTGTCAAGTTAAGGCAATGCAGGGTCACTGCAGAAAAATATGAATGCATAAGATTATGAGATTAGGGTTACAAGGTTATTATGTGGGACAGAAAAAAAAATAGTTTTCTGTTCGTTCAACTATTAAGAGTACAAGATTATCATCTATTCTTGTACAAAAATTATTAAAATGCAAAAAGATAATATTGAAAATGGTTCTTTTTTGCAAATGTCCCAGACCAAAAAAAGAACAATGAAATAAATTTGATTCGCACAAAATTTATGCATATATGTTACAATATAAAATGCATAGAACAATTTTACGCGTTCAAAGTTTGCTGCACAATATGACTGGACCCTATCAAGTCCTCTTATTTATTATAAAAAACATTACGCTCTTGTGTACATAAAATACGAATAACGGATAAACATGTTAAATTTTGACAGTGCGTCAAGTCACCATTAATTCTAATGTAAATAATGTGAAACGTCGTGATCTGACGATTTATGATTTGTGATTTGATGTGAAACAATTTTAAATAATCTCTTAAGTTTCTTTTTCCTGTGGATTATGTAACATTTATCTGGATTAGTGTGGTACCATGCTAAGTGCGTGCGTACAGTATCACTATGTACTATGTACGTGCGTACTATGAACCCAGTAAATGGTTCATAGTTTTATAGTTCTGCTAAAAGACGCTGGTGAAATGGTTTTCATCAAATTTCTCAAATTCAACACTAATTTCACCAATAATGGTGTCCTAATTTACTCTGGTTTAATTTCTCCAATACCTTTTAGTTTCGGTTTAGCCGCAGCATAATGTAATGTGTGACCAACCAACTATTCTCATGTATGGTATTATCCAAATCCAATAACATATTAACACCATACGTTTGTCATTTTTTTTTTAGCATAAATTTATTTGTTTATTTTCTTTTATTATTTTTGCCCTTTATGTTTTATTACAAAACTTTCTTGGGCACCTGACAAATAAATTACTTTCTGTTGTTTTGAAGTAAGTCCTTTAAAATGGTTTATTGTTGCATACAGTATTATACATTTCATTCGTCTTTTTTTTTTTAAAAAAAAAAAGATTATTAATCTTTAATTGTTAGTTAATTTTTTAAATAAGTAAACAGATTCATGTACTGAAAGTGATCAATAATGCGTGATTTTATTGATCTTTTATGACTTTATCAATTATTTATTTATAACTTAATTAATACAGTGAATTTAATACAAAAATTTATAAAAGATAAATAAAGTAAATATAATGGTTGGACTTATACCGCTGACGTCTTTTGTAAATATAATATATCATACATAATATTAAATTAAGAGATGTATTTTTTAAATTGATTACAAACGCTCGCTAAGCATTTCATATATTACGAAATGCGTAATACATATAATACTACATAAAATCTGATGTCAGTGGCGATGCTAGGGTATGTATACATGTGTGCCTAAATCTCCTATCTTAATAAAAAAGTAATTACGGCATTTAGGCAGCTGAAATTAGTCTTATATAGCCGAGATTAATTTTCATATTGGCCGAAATTATTTTAGCAAAATAATATATAGTATAGGGTTGTGTCAAAGCGTAACTATCGAATTAAACTCAAACAATAGAATAATTAACCAAATTAACATAATCGTGTTTTATGCGAGTTATCCAAGTCTCAAACATTAATTTGTTAATTGTATAATATATGGATTATTATGAAATTTTGATCTATTTTGTGTATGATTTTAAAAAATTTTGGGCCTTTTTTGTCAGCTTTTTTTTTGTAGTTGAGTTGGAATTTAGAGTTAGTTTATTAATAAAAGCGTATAGATGAAGTTTGGTAGGGCTGATATTTTCAAATTGAGACCCAAATTCCACAATGATCCGATTTCACAATGATCCGATTTCACAATAATCCGCGACGATATATTTTAACTTGCGAGTTAATAATTACATGACTTAAATCGTAATCATGAGTTTATAAATTCAATTTCTAGATAAATAAACTCTACATTATTTTTTTATTAGAAAGTTTGAAAGATGCTAAAAAATATATTTAAACCGTTTCATAAAAACAATGATTTTCTAAAACTATAAAATATATGCGTATAAACATCTTGTGGTCACAAAGATCTGGTCACTGGATCACAAAATATCATTCCTTCAAGGATTAAGACCCTAGCATCACCACCTTAAAAAAATTTATCTACAAGCGTTAGGATTAGGTTTTGGGTATTTTTGTTTTGACTTTATGTTACACCTGATCTTGAATTTTAATTCGGCCCGATAGCGAAATTTTATAGAGTGAAGGTTAGCATATAATCAATGTGACCAGAATCGGATGATCGTTGTACCATTCGATTCGTCTCATTGAAAATAATTATAAATTATGTATAAGTTTTAATAATCGATATTTTAGGATATAAATTCTTTTGTTTAAGAAAGTGATAATTTTACATTACACCAGATCTTGCATTTTGATTGGCTTATATATACATAGTGTACAAATAGAAAATTTCTATTATATATTATTATTACTGTAATAATCTATATAATTACGATATAATGAGCAAAGAAAAGACTAAATTACAATATCTATTAATATCTAACCAGAAAAACAAATAAAAAATGTTGCCAGTTGAATAAGACTTCAATTAATCAATATTAAGCAAATATTAAGCAAATATTAAGCAAATATTAAGCAAATATTAGGCAAATATTAGTATTGTAATTTAACAGGCAGTATCTTCGCTTACTTTTTCAATTCATTACTTGATCCAAAAAACTTTTATGTACCGCTTTATGTTGAGAAAAATAATCAATTTTGACCAAGTATGCGATGACTTCATAAAGTTATAAAAAAACTCTTTGTTGAAAAAACTAAAAGAATTCAATATAGGTAAAAGAACATTTGATATTTATATCACCTATACTCGAAGGATTATTCATAGAGAATGACAACCATCTGAATAATAGATATCATTATTAATACAAAGTGGTAATATAGACAATTTGACTAATAAAAAGAAAGGATAAAAATCTCTTGCAACAATAAATGCAACAAGGTATTCTGCATTTTTCTTCATACTCTTACTGATGTAAAGAGCTCTCATCTCGTTCAAAATGCAAAGCATGGGCCACTTGTACTATATTAATGCATGAACAAGACAAATCAACATAAATTCATATTACAAAATAATATGCGTATATGCAATGCAAAAAAATTAAAACATACTGACCATGCCTAAAAAAAACATTGACCACTAAATTTATGCATGATATAATAACCTCTGCATAACTTAAAAGAAGTAATATTTGGTCAAGCCTTGGAATATCGTACATTGCATCTAATCTCTGTTACGAAAGAGAATTTAGACTATGTAAGACAGGTCACCTGACGTCTAATAAATCAAGCATGTTTAATTCCATACGAATTTACATATAGTATAATATTTATTATGCCAAGTTTTAAGTTATTTTGTCACGTGAATAAGGCTAAATATTCATTTTACTTAAATTTAAATAATAGGCATATATGTACCAGTGTAGGAAATCTAATGTTCTCATGTTCTCATGTTCTCAAGAGAATATACTTTTAAATTTGAGAACATTTGTTACTTTGAACATGTTCTCTATAAAAAAATTTTTGAGAACATATTGCTTGATAAATATGTTCTCTATATACTATAGTACAAATTAAGTTGATAATTAGAAAATAAATAAATTTTGAAAAATTCTAGAAAGAGAATGAACAGACATAAAAGACAAGCAAGTTTGAGATAAAAATTTAAATAAATTACCAATATTATCTGAAAATTTCCAAAAAATAGTAACAGTGATTTTTGCTATTGAGAACATAAAAATATTTTTGAGAACATTAAATTAAATAATTGTGTTCTCATGAGAACATAAATTTCAAAACAGATTTCCAACACTGATATGTACTATAAATTATATTAAAAAATTAAAAAATATTATTTGAATTAATTAATTTAAATATAAAAATGAATTAGAATAGGCATACATTTATTGATGAATTTTTACGTAATTCTCTATTGGAAGGTTCAAATTAACTAAAGAAAAGTGATTGGAGGAGCTCGATTTTATTAAAAGTGAATGCATGCTTGGATTCATAAAATTTAACTTTGCAGGATTTAATAAATGATCCAATGGAAGTTTCATTTGATCATCTCAAAGCCTTGATCAGGAATCATTGGAAGATAGAAGTTCATCGTGAAAGATACATTTGAAGATATTAAAATATAAAGACAGTTTCTATTGCTACCATAGATTTGTTCGGAAATATCAAATCAAGCGAAAAGGGTGAGCTAGTTGATATAATGTTTATAAATCAAATGTAGGTTATAATAGCTAAACAAGAATAAGTGTAAAATGGACGTTTGATTTATATGTAAATTTATTTATTAAATTTATTTATTGGTGAACTCTAGACGTAATGAACTGCAAATTTAATTTTTATATTTCGGTATGAAAAATGTAGTGGGCATTAATTAGAAAAAACACACTAATTTAAATGATACAATTTTTTTTTTAAAAAAAAAACCATCAGTTCGTTATATAGATTGTTATTTAGATAAATTTTACTATTCAAGTTTCTTTATATTTAAAATATTTTTTTGTTATGGCTAATGCAGAAAATTGGGATTTCCTGTACTCTTTCATTTTCAATTATAACCTTGAATCCTAACCCAATCCTTAAAAAAAGTTCAAATTTCTAGCATCTGCCACTACAATTATTGATTTAGTATCAATATTACAACATCTTGGCTTTGCAATGTACTTAAGTTATTTGTTTTACGGTTATTGTTTCTTAAGAAAAAATAATATCAAAATTCTCTTGCCTTAACATAAAGAAATAAAATCGAAATAATTAATAAATAAAAGATAAAGAAAAAAAAAAAGCTTGAAAAAATGAATATATTTTAACTTTTCGATGAATAATAAAGATCAATTATTGTGCAAAAATATAATGGCAAAAAAAATTCACATGATCATATAAAATGTTGGATAAGCAAGCAAAAGGTTGAATTTGTGCGGAAAATTTTTTTAGTTCTTCCACCAGAAATGGTCAACTTACTAATAATGTATACTTACAACTAATAACATGTGCACTACCGGCTTTTAGGTTGTGAAGTCCGAAGCCTGAAATTAAAACTTTTGAAATATGAAATTGTTTTACTTAGGACCCAAAATGTATATGAAAATATGACTTTTTGTTTACTCATTTAATAGAAACTTTTGAAATACGAAAATATTGTTCCTTTTTACTCATTCATTTAGAAAGTTCTAACTTGTTCTAACTTGTTCTAACAATGACGAAATAGATCCTTTCTTGAGAATATATTCCGTCTGTTTATTTTTTATCTTGGTATTTATCTACTAAAAAGTGAATTTATTTGTAATACTAGGTTAACATTAATCATTATGTGTTCGAAACAAATGCGTAAGTGCACATGCTTTTATTACACTGAAGCACAAATAGAGATGAGCACAGATATAGGCAAAAAATTTTCCGTATTAGTTTTTTGATATGATCTTCGTTATGTCAAAGACAATTTTTGTGTCACTTTACACAGACACTAAGAGTTCTCTGCTGCACTGCGAACGATAAACATTTTCTACTAGACTCCCAGATAATAAGTACCGTGCTCAAGACAATAAATACCGTAAGACGGTTTTGCAAACCAAAGTAATCCTTCGTTAACATACAATGCCACCTATAGTAGATAAAATTTATATAAAAAAAACTCTTTCCCGTAGATCTCAAAACAATAAGTAAACAAAAAAGAAAAATCATAAAACTTAACTAACTAAAGGACAGAATAATAATACTAATTGCAGGACAACCTGCAACCTTCTATATACTAACCTAAAACTTTCTATATACTAATCTAAAACAAATTAAGATACATCATTACAGAAAAAAAGAGGAAATGCAAACCCTACACCAAAAACAAAGAAAATACTCCAAGGTCATTAGGGCTCACAGTCACTTTTACTTTTACAACAACACAAACTCTCAACATGCAGAACTGTTATAAATATCCTACTAGACAATAGAAACAACTTCAACACAAATAAGTTTCCTACAATTGACTTAGTAAAAATGACAAAGATACTACAAACAAATATTAAAAGATCTTGATAGCATTATTAAAACAAAACAACAAAAGTAAGAAAAATAACTTATTTCCATCAAACAATCACATGATTACATATACAATCAACTACAACAACAGCATAACAAAACAAACAGGTTTAATCAATGACAAAACCAGTTTTGTGGACAATAACAATAACTACAAAACAATTATACAAAACAACAACTCTTATATTACTATAAGTGACACACAAACAAAAGCATATAGTTCTAAAATGGAAATAGAAACTGCATATACTGCACAGCACATCTTAAAACTAATTAATACCAGTCACCAAACTGAGCCTCCTTAAACAAAGATGTATCTTGATCAAAATATGAAAACTGAATCCATTAATATAATATTAAGTACTGGAAACTCAATAGAGAATGATATATAAACTAGATACATATATAGTCAGATAGTTAAAGGTATAACAACTACAGACATAGATTCAGAAAGCAATATAAACTATATGCAAATATGAACAGAACAACTAAACCAAAACATAAATAAGAAAATATTAGAATCCTTTGATCTAATATTTTGGAATTACCAATTTAACACAGAAGCTTTCCAATCAAAAGAGAAATTACAAGAACTTATTACATATAAATTTAAGACTAAACCTGCATAACAAATACTACTAAGGGGTGTGGCGACCTAGTGAAGTGGATAGGTTGTCAACCCCCAAGTGGCAGGTCTAGAGTTCAAATCCCAGTGATGGCGAAAATTTGCAATTCTTTCTGTGTTACGGCTAACTGTCTTACGTGATTAGTTGGGATAGGATACCTGTAACCCATGTCATACCAGCCTGACTGGAAGGTCTAGGCATTTATGCAACATTGTACAAAGGAACACAAACCAGTACCGGGTGGTGTGAACCCAAGATAAGTCCTTAGGCCGTATAAATCATGGGAACCAGGTAGGAGGACGGAAGCCTACTTGGAAGACCCGAGTAAAGAGGTAACCCGAACTTTCAATGGTGCTACTGTAAAGACTAGACCTATAAACGGAGCTAGAACTTATGAAACTGGGCAAAGAGCTGGCCTTTGAGGAGTGGCCGAATGGAACCAACCAGGCTGCCGGAATTTCCAGGTTCCGGAGGAAAAGGTTACATGCCGGCAAACATGTAAACTAAAGGTGTATAGTTATGACCTGCCTTTCCGGGCTATCTGGTTTGGAAGCTTAGTGGAACTTGAATTGAATACCAAAGTAGTAGAGATATGTTGTGAAGTCAGTACCAGAGTTAGGGTAAACTCTACAAGGGCATAACGGTTTAATAGTACATCCTGACCACCAGTGTTGGTCTCAACCATAGCGATACTAGGTTAGCTATAAAAATAGGATACAAAAGATTCTGGAAGGTTTCGTACAAAGTTAAAGGTTCTCCATGTGAGTGAACTGCTTTAAAGACTTAGTGACCATGGCATATTTGAACCAGTATCGACCGGAACATCTTGGTAGGTGTAGGTAGGTGAGTGGATACAGGAACAGAGTGGTTAAATAAGGAACCTACAAGCAGGTTCCAGGTATGGCAGCTAGTATAGAACCTTCAGGCGGACTACTTAAATTAGACAATGACTAAAGTTGTATGAGTAGCTAGTTGTACACTCTTTCCATAGTTGCTCCCTGTAGTTGTAATGCAACCATTAGCTGAATGTACTATCAATAAAATCCTAGGTTACAAGTACTCACTTTAATATTTAAAAAAAAAAAAGAAACAGCAAAAATAAATTAAGGTTAATAATATATAGAAAAAAATTAGTAGTAAAAAATGCCATATAGTTATATACAAAAAAAATATAAAAAAAATAATAATAGAGTAGTATATGATGTAAGATGCTATTACTAACCTTGAAAAGAAAAATAAAGAGTAAGTAATAAGACTTGTATAAGATAACTTATTTAATACTAAAGTAGCATATAATGTAAAGTGCTATTACTAACTTTTAAAAAAAAATAAGAAATAGACAATAGGACTTGTAGAAGATAACTTACCTAATTTAAAAGAATTTAATTATGTACAGAGAAAGAATGGTATTAAAAAATTTTAGAATAAATAATATTATATGTGATACTGATTATTTCATTTTATCATGAGGTAAAAATTTGTAAATTCTTGCATAATATTACTTGTAAACAGGCTATATATAGTTGTTTATGAGAAAATACAAAAGTAAGAAGATATAAACTGACCAAATTTAATATTTGTCCTTGAGCTTTATTAATGGTTATAGCAAAGCAAGCTGAACAAAAAATTAGTGATGTTTAAAAGTAAAAGAAAGATCAGTATTTGAAGATAATATAGTAAGTCTTAGAATAAAAACTCAGTTTTTATATAAGATGCCAGTAATAATTTTAGTTTTGATAATGTGTCTAGTAAAAGAGTAACAAACTAATCTAGTTTTATTGCAAAGACTAGCAGAAGTATAGAGATTGTATAATAATATAATTAGAACACCTGGTTTTAATATAAGCTTATATAAAAAAAAACTACTAATAGTTAGAAAATTTAAAAATTTAATAGAATATTAAATACTCTGACACATCTCTATAAAATCAAATATAATTATTATATTTTTATTTTATTTTATTTTTTTTTTGCTAAAGCTATACTTGTAGTGATACTTTATTGACTTTATATCAGGTTAGTTATTACAACTATTTTTACAAAGATGAGATTACAGCTAGTCACATATGCAACTTTTGGTTGCCTATTTAAGTAGTCTGCCCTAAGGTTCTATTCTAGATGCCGTACCTATAACCTACTAGGAGATTATTCATTTAAACTCTCTGATCATCTGCTCTGTTATATTGGAATTCCCAAACTAATCCCCGTATATACCTACCTGGTATACCATCTGAGCAGTATGATACCTATTCTTTTTGTACTGGTTCCTAGGCCATTACACATTTCAGAGTACATTACCTGTCAGTAAGGCACAAGAGGCCCTCTATTGTTAACTATCTACCCACTTTTAGAACACTAACATAAGCTACCCTTACAGAGTTCACCCAAACCCCAGTACTGACTTCACAACATATCCCTAGTACTTTTAGTATACCCCTGCTTTGAACCCAGACTCCCAATCCAGATAGCCCGAAAGGACTGTAACCTGTTCTTGGTATATTGAGGCCGGCTCAATATCCTTTTTCTCTGGTCCAAAATTTGACAACCTGGTTGGTAGTACTTCTTATCCGAGGTTCTTGCCTGCTCGAATTCTTCATATTGGTATCCATTTCCTAGGTCTAGCCTTTACAGTAGTACCATCGAAGATCTGTGTTACCTCTCTGCTCAGAATTTCCAAGTGGGCTTCGGCTTCCCAGTTCTATGGATTTACATGGCCTAAGAACTTATTTTAGGTTTGCACCGCCTGGTACTGGTTTGTATTCCTCTGTGTAACAGGTTATACAGATGCTCCAGACCTGCCAGTCATGCTGGTGCGACCATAGTTACAGGTATCCTATCCCAACTGATCGACAGAATGCCGTTGCTGTAATACCGTCTATATATTACATAGGTGATTATCCAAATTTTGCTATCAGTAGGTTTTAAACTCACAATCTACTACTTGGAGGTATGACAACTTATCCACTTCACTAAGTTGTCACACCCATAATTATTATATTGATTTCATTAATCTGTTTATTTTTAGAAGCAAAAAAAGATTGCTTAACAAAATAATAAGAATTAGTATTTGGTGTAACTTTAGAATAAGCAAAATAGATTAGGTTATTTAATCTTTTAAAAGAAAAGACAATATTATTAGAAAGTTGAATATTAGCAATATTTTTTGTAATATTAGAAATTCAACCTTCTCCAACTTTAAGAAGCCAAATAGCAAATTCAGTTTAAGCAAAAGTATCTGAATTGTTAATAGTATAATAAAGATGTATATTAATTTGTAATTTCAAAAGCTCAATATGTTTCTACAAAGAGGAAGGACATGGACAGAAACTAACAATTTTTTCATATTTATTATATAAAACTACTGTAAGAATTTGCCAAAAATTTCTTCAAATACTACAATCTTATTACCAAAAGATTTGTGTTCTAAATCATGATTTATAGCTTTTATTAAATTTTTTAAAGTGCGATCTACAGCTTTAAATGCATGTCTATGCATCATCAAAGCTTCATTCTATGCAATTAATAATGTTTGTTATAATAGAAAAGCTAGCTCAAAGCTGTGATAAATAAAACAGATTGAAGTTTTGTTTATATTTATCAGAATATAAAATCTGAAGTATGCAGTTTAACTATCTGATAAAAGAAGAACAGCTATACCTGATAAAACAATAATAAGAGCAATATATTTAATTATCTGAACTTTTACAATTAATATACTAATATGAGCAAAATATATATATCAATATAAAAAAGGAAATATAATTTAATAAAAATAAATTGTAATATAAAAAAACAATTAAATCAATAAAAAAAAAGTACTTACTTATACAAAAATGATTTCTCTGTTCTACCTAACTATTAACAAAAAACATAGCAGAGGTTTTGTTTTTTACTACATTTATAAGTTTGTTAAATATAGCTTATTGTTCTATATTTAATTGAGGAATTCTAGTTTAGATGATCTAAGTAAGGTTATTGATATCATAGCTTTGTTCTTTACAAATAAGTTGATTAGTATAACTGTAGTCAGTAAGATCTTCTAGTAAGAGCATAAAGAGAAAGTTAGCAATACATTTTTCATATCTAAGTAAAATAGATTGTAAATAGAGTAAAGCTTGATTTTGAATAGTAGTAGTAGTATTTGCAGGATTAGTATTAAAATTATAATAAATATTATTAGTTAATATAGTAAAATACTTGTTTTATAGGTTTTCTAGATGTAAAGAATCATAAAAAAGAAAAAAAGTAGCAAATAACTAATATAATTAGGCTTCAGATTGTATATGTAAAGTATTAGCTAAACACAGATCTCATTCTGTATCAGTTTGTAAAAGGTCTAAAGCAGCATATACATCTTTAAATATGTTATATAAAACTCAATTTACTATGTGAAGAAATTCAAATAAAGTTGCACCACAAACTATAATAAGCAACATTTTTAAATAATAATATTAATTAGCAGCAGAGTGAACAAAATACATCTGGCCAATCATATTTCCATGCTGCTATAATTTTTATATGCTGGTCTTCTTGTTATAAACCTAATAAATAGAAAAATCAGCATATGTAATATTTTTTGCTTCTGAATATAATTTATTAGCATGAAACTAAGCAGTAAGTGTAGTGTATTTTGAATCAGCATGTGTAAGTATAGTTTCTACAGATTTATTATTCTAAAAAGCAACTTTATGTTCATTTTTTAAATAAACTTGAAGTTGTATAATTGCTAAGCTTCTAGTATATAAGTTGTAATAAAATAATTGCCAAGAAACTTCTAATACAGAAATGTAATAAGTATCAAGATAAATTTTGATTTTATTATTATTTTCAGAGCATTGTCTTTCATAATTTTGTACTCTTAATTCTATAGTAGCACAATCATATCTTTTATAAACATACTTAAAAAGATATTTTACCACAGCTATTGAAGAACAAATTTTTATATTTATATAATAGTTGTACTTAGTTGAAAGATATGAATTAAAAAAGATAACTCAACAGTTATCTAATACTGTTTTATATACTTCTACAGTTCAACCATTATTTCTTTACCTATAAATAGGATAACTATTATCATTAATAGTTGTACTTATCTGAAATCACTTTGGATATCATTTGAAACATTTCTTATTTTTTATGCAAGGAGTGCTTAAGAATTAAGTCCACAAGGTTTGTGCATTATAAACTTTTTAATAGTTTTGAATATATAAGAATAAATATCTTTATCAGATATTTTAACAAAAACTTTAACATTGTAAGCATCAACAATTTGGAACTTATTTTTATAAGTGAAAACAAAAAGCATATAGACATAAAGTAATTCATGCTTCTAAAATTTTATAGTATAAATGTAAGTTATCACTTTTCTAAAAATATCATCTTTTAAAATTTTTTTAAGCATTGCCTTTAATTTTATATTAAAGACTTTAGCAACTAAATCAGGTTTGTTATGTAATGATTGACCTAAAAGAAGAGAATTAGTAATTTCTAGCTATTTAGAATTGCAAGTCATAGTAATAAACAGATTAGGCTTTTCAACTACTCGCACAATAGCCATAGCATCATAATAGAGTTTCTGCATTTGGTAAGATCTTCCTATAAAGCTAAATAATAATATAATTTATTGTCCTATATTGGCTAAGCTAGACATATTATTCTTTTTATGCATTGCATCTTGTAGGCCCTTGTATAATTCTACTTATAGCTGAACTTGATTATAGCATAGATAATTAAAATGCATTTGTTCTACTATTACGTACATATCTACAATCTACTATTAAAAAAGCTATTCAAATTGATGTAAGACTACAGCTTTACTCAGATAATCAAGATGTAATTTGTAAGCAATGTAATTCATGATACTTACATGTTTTCTTAAAATATTTGATTCATTTTTATTAACATTTAAATAATCTTTATTGTCTATAAAACTTTGAAACAAAAATGAAGAAAAAGGAACACTATTTATAAGAATATTAGAATGCTAATTATCTTCATTTTTGGGAAATATAAGAATATAATACAAAGGTTGATATGCAGAATATAGCTCTGATATTCTCTATAATTCTTCTTCATATAAGCATAAAACAATATTATGATTAAGTAGCTCATCAGTTTGTTCATCACTAATCATAATAACTGCAATTTCTGATATAGTAGAAATATTATAATGTCTAGAATCTTTTCTTCTATTATCAGTAATAACCATTTTTAAATCTAAGAATAGATCTAATCTATGTATGCTGTCAACTTGTCTAAACATACTACTGTAAGGATTTACATTGTATAATATTTGCTGTAGCTTTGCAAGAAAAATAAGATTGAGATTATGCATTATAAACATCCTATTTTGCAATTTATACTTAGTATCATATACTATAATTGAGCAAACTAAGGGCTAGAATTATAAGGAAGCAAGGACCCTATAGTATGTTACATTTTACCATGAATATGAAAGTTATAAACACCATTTGTTTCTGTTATAGTATCATCTATCTTTATATTTATAAATGTGAAAGCTAATACTGAATTATACATTCTAATATGTTGTCTAAACAAATGTATACTCTGATCTATTCTAGCAAGCAAAGTACTTAAAAGAGAAAGTAATTCCTGAAAAGGAGAAAGATAAATTTTGCCTTTAGCACAACATGCTGTGAAAATTAATAATTGTATAAATGAATTTGTTCTCCTTTCATCAATCTACAATAAAACTCTACAACTACAGCATCTATAACTTATACTTTTCAAAAAGTGACAATCTAAATCTTATAAACACTATAGATAAATATGTCTTTTCAATATTGTAACAGAAGTTGTAATTAGAAAAATAATGACAGTTGGTTTAATAAGAATGCCACTTCATCTTCAGAGATTATGCTAAAACTAAAATCTAATAAAAAAGAGATTAGAAGACTAACTTTACTTCTTAAACCTATCATAGTTTTTTTAAATAATTCAGATTGTGTAGAGTCTACAGAAGCCAGTTCTAATTTATTCTTTAGTATTTCATTTTTATTTTGATATCTTGTTAAATATCTTTTTATTCTATTTTTTTGTTTCAACATTACATTATTCTTTTTTATTATTATAATATCATTGTTAATGTTCATGATTATATCTTTGATGTCATTTCTCAGAAGTTTCAAGCATAACATTATTAGTACACTGTGATATTAAAAATTAAAAAAAAATAAAATAAAATAAAAAAATATAAATAAAATAAGAATAAATATATATGTCATATACTGCAATATGCTTATATATTGCATATATTACAAATTATAATTTAACAACTAAAATAAACTAGTTTTTTGTTTAGGGTTATATAGGATTAGATGCAATAAATGAAACATGATTTACAGTAAAATTTTCAAGAAATTTTTTTTGTTAGAGTGCAAAAGATAGTTAATATGTGAAATTTTGAGTTGTAAGTGACTTTTGTCAAAATGAACATTTTCTTAATCGTGCTATGTTATACCTGATATTGGAATTTGATTGGTCGATCATTAATATGTGATGTATAAGCACATTACAGAGTTGTGACACCTAATTAAATCCAAAAATAAAATAAAAAAATTATTGATATTAGTCTTATAGTTAAGAAATACTAATATAAATTTTTTTAAAAATATAAGTATTTTAAAAAAAAACAAGATTAAAATTGTATGTTTTAAATTTTAAACAACAGTTTATTGATAATTATTAGTTTAAATTTGATGAAATTTTTTTACTTTAAAATAAAAAAATTTATTTAATTATATTAGATAATTGAAAGGTTTTTTTTTTTGGTATTAAGGTAATCTTTTTGGTCTTTTACCTTTTATTAATAACTTATTAGTAATGTAGTTCTATGAACCACTATAGAAAAGAATACAATTAGTTACACATATAATTTTTTTATATTATCTATTTAAGAAATTTGCTCAAAGGTTCTCTACTAATTGCTATATCTAATATCTCTGTTTGGATGTTTTACTTTAAATCTTCTAAACCTGTAACCTGTATTAACTTACTGGATTATATTCAGATGTTCAAATCATCATCTTAACCTTAGAATTAATTTATCCTTAAGGTAAATCTTTAGAGTTTTCTGTATCTATTTTTATAGCTAATCTAGGTATTACTATAGCAATACTAACACTTATGATTAGAATTATATTATTTAACTGCTATGTCTTTGTAGAGTTCATACAGATCTCAATATCTATTTATAGTATAATCTTAGTATTTTAGTATATTTTTATCTTTTGTTTAGTCTTTTTATTAAATTCTTAATTCAGATAGCTCATATAGAACTATAACTAGTCTATTAATATATCAAGTTAGTTTAATATTCTTTTTTTTTAATTCATTTTGGTAACCTGGTTGGTAATATCTCTAAGACACCCAACCTAGAGGTTCTTATCCATTCGGTTACTATGATTAAGTACTATGATCTTGGTATTTATTTTTTTAAACTAGTCTTTATAATAAAACTGTCAAAAATCTGACTACTTTTCTATTTAAGTCTTTTTAATTTCAATAGATTTATATAATTATAAGAACTTATTTAGTGTTTGTATTACCTGATTTGTCAGTTTATATTTCTTTGTATAACAAGTTACATATATGCTCTATGACTTGCCAGTTATGTTAGTATAATCATTATTACAGATATTCTAATCTAATCATTAGTAATAGCTATCATAATATGAATATTACATAGATAATTATTCAAATTTTTATTATTAATAGAATTTGAACACTCAACTTACACTTGGAAGTTGACAATCTAACTACTTTACTAGGTCACTATACCTCTAAAATGATAGTTTTTTTTTATTATTATAATATAATATATATTGTAATAAAATTTACTAAAAACTAGTAAGCTATAATAAACTAAATAACATGAGTATCAAATAAAAAATCTTTTATTTAAAAAAAATAAAATAACCAAAAATAAAAATAAATATTTAAAAAGTAGAATTTAAATTCAATAGCTTTCTAAATACTATAAGATATCACAATAAAACTAGATTTTAAACTAAATCTTATTTAGTTTATATAAATTAAATATAACAAAATGTTTACTTTATGGGAAATCACAAAAACTCTTCCCTGTAGATCCCTCGACCAAAAACTCTAGGAAAGAAAACATAGAAAAACTCAGTAACTAGACTAGG